ATTTTCCTATTGATGGCTAGAAAATGGTATTTAGAGGTTTTCTTTTGGGAATTGGCTTGTAGGTAAAGCAGATATGCATTAGAACAATGGTCCGGGACAATGGCAAGGGTTAATTGATTTCTAAAAGCCTGTTTCTGAAAATTTCCTCAAGGCCCACTGTGTCTGACAGCCAAGCAGCAAGCAGACACACAGGCTGGGAAACCAAAGACATGTACCATACTGTTCCACAACATGAAATAAGGTGGCATCAGGTCATAGTACCCAGCTGCAGAGCCCTTGGGATTTCAGGTTTTGAGGAACAGATGAAATTAGGAGAAGACTGGGAAAGTCCAAATGGGGATGTGTGCATGTGATGGGTTTGTGAAACAAGGGAATATGCTGACGGGACAGAACATGGACATTATGATTACCACAAGAAGACTAATCAGCAATGCCCAAAGATGAAGAGTCATCAAGAGAAGAAAAGACACAAAAGGAAGGATTTCAGAACAGCAAAGGGTTCCCGTGAGGGGAACCCGAGCCACCATGGACCGAAGGCATACCACCAGCCTGTTGCACCTACCCCCATAGGGGAGGGGTGAACCTTGGCCTCCGACCTCCAGGCTGCCGACATCTGACATTCAAAAGAGAACCTCAGAGTGAAGCTTGCATACTGGCCAAATGCATCTTGAACCCTGATACTAGTGGATATATAGAATTGTTTGCATTATTCTTATCTGCTATCAATAAAACTGTGTATCAAAAAAATTTACCTATTATCTAATGGAAAAGTCGTGGTCAGTCTGAGGGATCTGGGTCTATCTGGAACAAGGTTTCTGGGTCATAAATCCAGTGTCAACACTTATCAGTATGAAATATCATATGCCTTAGGGAAGTCAATTTTTAAGCATCTGGAGGAGGAACAGTTTCATAGATTTCATAGACATAAGGGCTGGAAGGAACCTCATGAGGTCATCAGGTCCAGCCCCCTGCCCAAATGGCAGGAAGTCAGCTTGGGTCAGTTTATCACAAGCAGCCAGCATGGATTTGTTTAAGAACATATCATGCCAAGCCCACTTGATCCTTGACAAAGTAATTACAAAATAACTAGTTGATATAGGAAAGGGGACACAGTGAACAGAATGCACTGGAACTTTAGTAAGGTATTTTAAAAAGTCCCAAATGCCCTCATAAGGAAACTGGAGAAATGTGGGCTACATAACATTACAAGGTAGAGTCATAGTTGCCTCACTCATCACAAGCAAACAGTAATTATTTACTATGAATAATGAAAAGGGCCTATGAATGGACGGATATGGACGTACAGTTCTACTGGTCCCCTAAGCTCAGTGGGGGGCCCTGAAAACTTAGATCATCTCCTATTTTCTGTTTCCAAAATGGGAGGTGGTGGCTTCTTAGCAGAAAGTAATCAGCCCCCAAATTGTTTTTATAGGCCTTGAATGCTAAAATAACAGGAGTTCTGAGTGGGTTTCATAGGGACCAGTCCCAGGCACAATGTTATTTAACATGTCTATTAATCATTTAACAGCTTCCTGACCAAATTTTCGGATAACAGAAACTGGGAAGAATTCAAATACATTGGACGATAGGAATAGAATCCAGAAGGATCCTAATAGATTGGAGAGTTGGGCTTGAGACAACAGGATGAAGTTCAACACAGATAAATGCAGGGTGCTACACCTAGATTAGAATCATCAATAGCACAAGTACAGAATGAAAAATAACTGACTCAGTGGCAGCATAGTCGAGCTGGATCTTGTGTTTTTTTGTGAACCACAGATTCAACGATCTGATGCAGCTGTTTAAAACACACAGGTACACAAATGTAATCAACCTGTATTACTTTACTTATCAACAGGAGTATTGGGTATAACACATAAATTTGTGCCACTCTAGATGAGTCCTAACCAGCACTAAGTAGAGTAGTGCATACAATTCTGGACTCCATATTTTAAGAAGGATGTGGAGAAGAGGGTCCAAATGTAGGTGACAAAAATGATAAAGGGGTTGGAATGCAAACTGTACTGGGAAAGGTTGAGAGAACCGGGCACATTTAGCTTGTAGAAAAGGCAATTAAGGGGGGAAAGGGAGGTGGGGGAAGGTGAATGGAATATGATTGCAACCTTCAAATATCCTAAAGGCTGTTAGAACAGTAAGACTGTGGAACAGACTGCCCAGAGAAGTTGCGGTATCTCTAGAGGTTATCAAGAAGAGGATGGATAAATATTGGACAGAGATGATTTAGAAGTAGCATTCCTGTATCTGTGCAGCATGTTGGCCCAATGGCCCTTAAGTTTCCTTCTTACCCTATGATTCTATCGTGAAATTACAACCCCTACCACAAAAAACCCCAGTCTTCCCACCCCTTATATTTTATGTAACCAGATAACAAGTGCTGAGTTATTACCTGATAACCCAGGAAGCAGTCACTATTTGTTATGAATAACAATAAAACCAAAACTATCTTTCAAAGGCAGCTTTATATTTATCTTTCAAAGGCAGCTTTATATTTGGTAACCAGTTATTATATTCCAATATCGTTCATTCAATTATGGAGTTAGTATATAAATGTATATATCAGGAATCAGGTGCATCAGTTCCCACAAATTAGATAAAAATGTTCCCATCTATATTCAGAACAAGAAATATTAAATGATTCTTTCTGAAAGTATCTTGGTGCACTCTGTTAAATTTTATCTATTCTATTTTATCTATTCTTATGCAATAATCCTTATGTAGTACATAAGAATTGCCGTTTACTACGTCCAACTCCCTGCCCAAAGCAGGACCATCCCCAACTAGATCATCCTACCCAAGGCTTTGTCTACCTGGGTCTTGAAAAACCTCCAAAGATAGAGAGTTCACAACCTCTCTGGGTAACCTGTTCCAGTGCTTTACTACCCTCCTCCTCCATGACAAAGTTTTTCCTTATATCTAACCTAAACTTCTCATGCTGCAACTTGGGACCATTGCCCCTTGTTCTGTCATCTGCCACCACTGAGAAAACCACTGAGGTCCATCTTGCCCAGTATTCTGTGTTACACGGGGCAGACATACTGAGATGCTGATACTGTTTAGAAGCATTAGTTGTAAGCATAGTTAGAATATACCTCATGGTATTCTATATTACAAGACATAATATGATTATTGCATTTTGGATAGTAAATGTGACCACCACAAATGTATTCTTTGTAATCAGAATATTGACTATATTTCATGAACTGTCAGTGTGAACAGTAACCTGCAGATACAATTAAACATTTCTTAAACATTACAAATTCAAAATTTTAAGCTGACACAAATTAATATTAATCAGCAGAAGAAATCTCGACTTTTCTTCATCTTAACAATATTTACATATTTTAAGATCAGTTGGTGAAAGGCAGTATTAGAGTGATCCATTTCTTAACTAAATCAGAATGACACAAAGTCCAGTTTTATGAATAAAGGACAAACACAGGAAATGGTATATTCTGAACTTTCTAAACTTTTGCACCACAGCTTCTCTTATTTGTGAATTAGATTACATTAAATGCCTGAATGTCTCCAGACACTGAAGGTTATTGTTATTTGAACTTTCTAGATACCTCCTCTTCCCCATTGGTGTTTGTCTGCACCAGAGGCTTGTGTATACAATCTTTTCATGTAAATGAGTCCCTCCAGCCCCTTCATTATTTTTGTTGATCTTCTTCTAGTTCATTCCAGGCCAGCAACTCTTTCAGACATGGAGCTCACCCAAACTGATCAAATGTTCTAAGGTGGATAAACCAGTGCAGAATGAATCTATCACAACCTGCTATCATGGTAGGAGGCTTATGTAATTACAGAAAAGACTTATATTGGCATATTAATATTCTCTCTACACCTAAGTCTCTTTAATTATCACTACTTGAACATTTTCTCTCACAATTAATATCGCAGTTCCTGGTTGTTTTCACTAGTTATATTAGGTTGCATTTTCTCAGTTGAATCTCATCTTTTTTCTCAGCTATATTTTTTACACATCTATATACATTTGCATTTTTTCTCCGTCCTCCCTGCTGCTTTCCTTCCATCTTAATGTAAATATTATCTGTGAATGTAATTCATATGATGGGTATTCCTTCTTTCGGAAAATTATGTTAAATAAAATCCAGTACCCTATAATCAACTTCCATGGTACCACAAAAAGCTTCTCATGTCACTATATTTATTTGAAAGAAAACAATGAACATTAAAGGATACTTATGATCAGGGACTTAAAATATTATGTATAAGGAAACCCATATGTGCATATGCTTGCACACATGCAATATATGCTAGCATAGCCAGGTAGGTAAACTCCATTAACTGATAGCACATTACTAAAGTTCTTTTTAATTGACTCTGTACATCTGATGTGACAAAAGGTTATTCATATGGCATTTAATATTTACAGTACTCTTATTTCCCTCACACCATGTTTATGACAAAGGAAAGCATGAGTCTGTCCTTTGCTAACGGAAAGTGATGCAATTTGAACTTTCTGCCTTGAAGAGGGTTTTTTATGTGACCAAAGGAAAAATAAAATCAATGTTATTTCTGTGCTGCTCCCATTATTTTAATTTTATGTGCAAGTTTAGCAGTCTTGATGCCAAGCAGTGTTTGGTGATACAGTAAAAGCCCTGTTTTTCAGCGTAAGTGGAGAATGGAGGGTGCCGGTAATCTAAAAATGCCTGTTACCTGAGGCACAAGCGTTTCAAGCCAAACGCGGAGCAGGGAAGGGAGGGGCGGTGGCAGTATGCAGAGCGGGGGGCAGGGGGTTGGTGGAGGCTGCATATAGAGTAGTGACAGCACAGGGTAGTGGGCGCTAGCGTCACCCAACACATGCAACCGCCCCCGCCCCCCCAAACAGCACCCAATGTCCGGCCAGCCGGCCAGAAATCCAGTTAATAGAAATGCCAGTTAGTAAAATGCTGGATAACAGGGCTTTTACTGTAATTAAAAATACCAACAAGAGTCACTATAACTACTATACTTACATTTGTGAGGTGAATGACTCCTTTAGATGTAACAGAACAGCCCATAAACCCAACATACTGAAGCTCAGGACAGTGTTCAGCAAATGCTTTTACTGACTGATCTGTCACCTACACAAAAGAAAAATAGAGAAAGTAGTTGAAGGTGACAGTCTTATGTATGCAATATAAGAAAATCCAGAAAGCATCTCAGCAAGTGTAGCAAGTTGTTAGTTCAACAATAGTTCCCTTTGTCTTGACAGTCTGAGAGAGACAGTGAGGTATGCCTACAGGTCTATAGATATAGAGAAACAGGATAAAAGGATTCTCCCCCCCCCCAGAGAAAGCCGGGCACTAAATAATACACAATACTTACTGAAATGCAAATTACCAGTGAATTTATCTCTAGGAGAATATAATCAATGCCAGCTACCTTTACATAACATATACATATATATAAACATCACAAACTGTATACAAATATATATAAAATATTAACAAATAAAAACTACTAGTATATTCTACAGATTCATGCTATACCCATCGTTCAAACACTCTGTGTACAGTCAACAGCATTCTTTTTGTCAACGTTTTAATTCTTCTTTCAAGCAACTTCCAATAATGTTAAACCATGCTATAATCAAAGATATCATTTATCTTATAACAAAACCCCAAGTCATTTTCAGTGACTAAATCTTTGACTAAGAGAAGAACAAATGTACTTTTTATAGACTAGCAGTTTTAAATTGGGATTTTTGCTTTTTTTATCAGAGATGAGTAATCCAAAATTATCTTCGTTTCTTCACTGATTGTATGCATCTACACACATGACATTAATGCAATGTGATACACTTGAGCACATTTCATGCCGAAGTACAGTGCTCCTAGCCTCAGCATTAGGTCTGTGCGAAATTTCAATGGCTATTTCATTTCAGATTTGGACATTTCAGCATCCAGAGACCGCGTGCCACTAGAGACAGCGAGCAGGAGATAGACTCCTACTGCCAGGCTCATCTTCCGCGGGAGGCAGAGGGTAGACCATGGTCTCCCTCCAGGACAAGGGAGGACTTGGGGACCTCCCTTACTGTCCAGCCCAGGGCTTGGACCAAGGTGGTGAAGGGCCCAAAGCCCGCCGCACCAAGGTCCCTGCCCCACTGGAGCTCAGCAACAGATACGAACCTCTTGCAGCCCCAGCAGAGGGTGCTGAGTTGCAAGCTCCCACAGGCAACACAGACAATACTGTAGCTACCACCCCCGCTCTCCCCAAGACCAAACGCAAAGTGTTTGTTGTGTGAGACTCCATCCTGAGGGGGAGTGAGGGGGTAATCTGCCACCCTGACCCCTTAGCCTGGGAAGTTTGCTGCTTCCCAGGAGCCAGAATCCAAGACATTGTGAAGAAGATCCCTAAACTCCTCCAGCCAACTGACCACTACCCTATGCTCCTCATCCATGTGGGCACTAATGACATGGCTTGGAGTGCTCCCAGCTGCATCATGAGGCGCTATAGGGATTTGGGCGTGGGGCTTAAGGGTCTGGGGACGCAGGTGGTGTTTTCTTCGATTCTCCCAGTCTTGGGCTATGGGCTGAAGAGGGAGAGGAGGATCCAGGTAGTTAACCAGGCGAGGACTTAGTAAGGGAGCTTCTGGAGGGACTGGACGTATTCAAGTCAGCCAGTCCAGATGATCTCCACCCTAGAGTTCTAAAGGAGCTGACCGAGGTTATTGCAGGTCCCCTGGCACGGCTTTACGAGCACTCATGGTGCACTGGAGAGGTGCCGGAGGACTGGAAGAGGGCCAATGTGGTTCCAATCTTCAAAAAAGGGAGGAAGGAGGACCCAGGAAACTATAGGCCAGTTAGTCTTACCTCAATCCTAGGCAAGCTGTTTGAAAAAATAATTCTGGCGCACATCCAGGAGGGGCCAGCGGGGGACTGCATGCTTAGGAGCAATCAGCACGGGTTCATCAGTGGCAGGTCCTGTCAGACCAACCTGGTGGCTTTTTATGATCAGATCACCAGATCATTAGATGCAGGGGTAGCAGTGGACATAGTCTTCCTGGACTTCGGGAAGGCTTTTGACACTCTCTCACCCCGTTCTCATTAAGAAAATGGGAGGCTGTGGTGTAGACACCCACACGGTCAAATGGGTCACCAACTGGCTGGAGGGC